CTGTCATAAAACAATATAACTGCAATCAGAATCATCAAAGACAATATCAGTGTTTCTTTAGTGGCACAGTCGTGACATAGTTGTTGTGTCTGCACTCTTACTGCAGGCTTGTAACTGGAGTTCTGGATTTAAAACCCTCTCCAGCTCCATGGGTTCATGTGACGTATGAAACTACATTTTACATGTTTAAAGAAACTCACACGACATCCATTAAGTGGTTTTCAGAGGTTTTAAGTGTGACACATTCAGGGACAGAGACTCAGTTTATCTCTGACTACAGATGTGCACGTGTACTTCATGCATTATGTTGTTTTAATAGTAATCTGTTTTATTATCTACTGCAAAGCCAAACAAATCCAACTGTTTCCTTCCAGCAGACGTACATCTGAAACAGAAACTGTGTCAAATCTGATAAATATTGATGCTTCAATGCTTCAAGCAGTGAGAGAAGGCCTCTTCTGCCCCCTGCAGCAAGAAACAAGACATTTCTATTGTTAATGACACTCTTGAGCTCAACATACTATGATGGAATCACTGAAACACAGGAATCATTCACTTTGGTTCTTTCATAGATCAGATGTTATCAGTCGTGTTCCTGTAATGTCACTGTGTGGACAGATGTGGGTCCCCACACTGTAGGTAAAACCTGCACACACACACCTGAATGACTGATCTGTGTGTTGTTTCTCAGCTGGACCTGAAAGGATCCATAACTGTAAAAAAGGTCAGCAGATGGGGCTACTACATCCGTCTGAAGAACATTTCCACTGAGGTTGTTTGCACATCGATGAACCTTCTGAATACTGAGCAAACATGTATAATAAGTTTTATATCAATATGATGATCAAATACATCCAAAATGATTGTAAATGATCCATTAAATCAAAACTAATGCTGTTAACATCAGAGTGCATTTAGTCTGTAGGTCCACATGGAAAGAGGTCAGAACTTTATGAACATTAAAGCGCTCAGAATGTTCAAACAAACATCCTTCTGATGTTGATCTGGAGTGGGAGGACCTGATGTCCTGGAGGCCTGAAGACCAACTGCAGGTCACCGTCATCACCAACATTCGAGACATCTCCAAACAAAATATATATATTTTTTTTTTTTATTTTTGTCAAGTTAAGTTCAGCAAAACTTACTAGGTTTGTTGTTTTCGCGACGTTGCAATGAGTAGAAGATGTGACAAGAACAGACAATAAACATGTTCACAACATTTTAAAAAAATGAACTAAATGTCTTCTACAGGTTTTTTTTTGTTGTTGTTTTTTTGTATTTTATTAAAGAAAGCTTCTTTTAGAGCTTCTCAGAGTTTTTCTTTAAACTTGAACTGTTTTTAATTTGTTTCTGTCGACTTGATCTCATAAAGCTTCTATAATATTCAGCTCTGGACGTGTTCAGGGTTTTTTTCAGATGCTTTTGTCTCCAAATAGGATTTTGCTGCTTCAGCTGGGATCAGTTTCCAATCAAGTTTCCAATCCAGAAGGAGCAGCATCATGAAATCAAACCTGTCTGTAGTTGNTTACGAGATCCTGACCAGAGCGCCACACATGTACAAAACTCGGGTTCAGGTCAGATCTCATCCACTCCAGTATCTCTGCAGTAACATCCACTGCAGGTTCCACACGACACGGTAAAATGACGTCATCACCGACTAGTGCCACTATTGGCTGAGATGGACCAATCACCTGAGATTCTCCTGGGGAAGAAAATACAAGTTTATTGATTTCTGCATTAGAATGTAGCTACAGAAACCCTGTGGACACTGATAGCTGTGTTCCAGCAGCTTCTGATCCATCCAGAGCTGCTTCCTGCTGGTTCCTGGTTGACTCTTGACCATCCTGACCAGTCGTCTCTCAGCAGTAGGTGATAGTTTGTGTTTTCTGAAAACTGAAAATTGCTGTATGTACAAGGTGTGTCAGAAACGTTCCAGGACTGGTGTCACAAAAGATATATTTCAAATCCAAACTACAAAATACAAGACTTTCCCTTTCAAGTAATCCCCCTGGAGTCTAACACACTTCCCCAGCCTTCTCTGCCAGCCCGCCATGCACTGCTGGAAGGATTCTTCTAGGATCCTCTGCAGCTTCGTCATCACAGCCATCTTGATGTCGTCTACGTCTTCTAAACGGGTCTCCTTGATGACCCCCTTGAGCTTGGGGAAGAGGAAACAATCCCACGGGGCCAGGTGGGGTGAGTAGGGAGGTTGCTCCAGCACGGAGATGTTCTTCTCAGCCAGGAACTGTTGGATGCTCAGGGCGTTGTCATGGTGAAGCAGCTACCACTGGTCCTGCCACAACTCTGCCTCTTCTCACACACTGAACGAAGCAAGCACCGCAGGATCTCTTTGTAGACGTGCTGGTTGATCGTGTGAAGGGGAAAACTCCTAGTTTGTAGTTTGGGTTTGAAATATATCTTTTGTGACACCAGTCCTGGTACTGTTCTGACAGAACTTGTATATTTTTGACTCAGTAGATTTCAATTCGATCATTGCATCATGGGAAATTGAGAGTAAGAGAAATTGGGCATTTGTGTGTGAGTTACCTCTGCAGAAGTGCGTTGGGAGAAGATGGAAAATCAAAAGAGTGAAGGTTCTGAGTGGAGACAGTCGATTTATCTGTGGAGGCATCCTGCTGCTCTGAAAGTACAACAGCGACAGAATGTAGGAGTAAAAAGTCCTGTCAGTCAGTTGTTTCTTTATTTTTCACGATTTCCCTCCTGATGCAGCAAAACGAAAGACATCAAACTCTTTGTCTTGAACACTTTGCCGCTGTTGTTAGTTTGTTCGGCAGCTTCATGAGCTTTCTAACTGGTCTGGTTTCCAGTTGTTGAAGGCTGCATGGGGGAATTTTCTCCTTCCTAATGAAACCTTCAGTTGTGTCGTGTTCGTAACCTGCAGACAGTCACAGTTAAACAGTCCATCATTACTTTAGACTGTCAGAGGTTGGCTGTAAGGAGGAGTGCCACAGGAGATAAAAACCTCAAGCTCATTCAGAAATCAATAATTAACAGCAGCTAACA